GATAAGGAGTCATTAAAGCGCTGTTATCTGGTCCAGATAGCATTGGCATCTCTGTGAAGATCATTATTTTTGCCCCTTGAGCCGTTTGGCAACGAAGAGCCGGCCTAAACGCACACCCAGCGCTTACTCTCGGGTCAGCTGCGACATGGGGATGGAGGCGCTAACGATACGCGGCCTGGCGGTTAATGCTTTTTCTAAACGGCCCTAATGTCACTGCACGCTAATCTGAGCGCGCTCGCTCGCTCGCTCCCTTGCTCTCTCGCTGTTTTTCTTTGTGCTCCGTCAGCCGGCTGTAGCTGCGAGGAACGCGGCCAAGTTGTTGGTTTCTGTTTTTTTTCTTTTCTTTTCTTTACACAGCGTTTCTCCTCCTTTGATGTTTTTCTCTCTCCTCTCTTGACGGAAGGACCGTCGACCAGAAGTAAATTTTTTTAAAAATATTTTGCTTCTCTTCTGAGGCAGGTATGCTAACCGCTACACCACTAGCTGTGGGTTCGTCAACGACAACAGGGACTGGACTCAGTCTTGGTTCTGGTCCAGATTAAGGATCAGGTTCTGGTTCTGGTTAATTATGAACTCTTCATGTACCAGGATGTAGTAGTTCAACACCCACCACAGTAGGGGGCAGCTGTCAGCTCTGTCTGTTGGTCTCACTGGCGTCACCCAGTGTGATCCTAGTCTCAGACTCTGTTCCATCTGAACATCAGTTCCTAACTCTGGAACAGAGGGATCTACATTTGGAATCACTAGAGAAGAAAGAAAAGAACAAGAACATGAACCAACACCAGGAATATTGGACTGGGAGTTGGAGAGAAAAAAAATCAATAACTGATCAATAACTGATCAGTGACTGAGGAGATTGATACAGGATCAGGAAAAGGAAATCGTGAAGTTCTCTTACTTCCCTCGTGCTGATGAAATTGTAAAGCGTTTTTTCTTCTGAACGGTCGATTCATTAAGAAGTTCAGTAACAGCTCTTCGTCGTAGTCATTGTTTTTTTTCTTTCTTTTGTTTTTGCTGATCTGGTCTTTTGTGATGAACACGTTCAATCCTGCATCCAAATCGTTAACAATCTTGTGTAATTAGTTCAACGGCAAAATTAACGTCCAACGGCCCTAAAACCAGTCAAATGCCCCCCCGCGGAGCGCTCTCTGGGCTGCTAACCATAAGTGTGATTACACCATCTGCTGTGGAGCGGCTCCGAGGCCAAGGCGAACGTTTGACCGGAGTTCAGGCGGGAAAAACTCCTCCTCCATTTATCCACACCTTTTGATGGTTCCGTCGTCCGCAGACACACCTCCGGGGGCAGCAGAGCCCTAATAACACATGACGCGCGTCTGCCGTCAGCAGGGATTCGTCTCGTGGTTTTTTTCTTTTCATTCGACGAGCCTGTAATCTCCAACCTCAGATTGAGCCTCATCAAAGAGATCCTCTGGTACGACGCGCGTGTGCGTGTGTGTGGATGAGGAAATTCAATTAGCTTAATTGGCCTCCGTGTTATTCTGCGTAACGCGGTGTCGACAAACTTCACAGAGCCGTGACGGGAGCCCCGCGCTAATGAGAGCAATAACTTTAATCCCGATGTTTTACCTCCACATTCCAGAAGATTCCAAATTGAAATCCAGGTAATTAGTTGTAACAGCCCACGAGGAGGTAGAGGGCGCCGCGCCTCCTTCAAGGCCCCGCTAATGGTAACAGATGAAGTGGAGGAATTGGATTTGATCTCGTTTCATGTGTGACACGTGACGAGAGCCGAGAAGAAGATGAAAGACTTTTGTCTGGTTTTTCTTTTTTTTTTTTTCTTTTTTTTCTGGCTGGAAAAGATTGAAGGAAAATAAGGAAAAATAATTAATTCTCCTTCGTTAGCTGGAGTCGCGACACGGCTGCAGCTAATTCCAACATATCGTCAGATTTAGTAACGCTTTTAAATGGGAAAATAAATCTTTAAGAAAATATAACAATTCTTTGAACAGTGATGCAGCGATTTGGGAATTCTGGGCCGAGACTTTCATTGACAAGTGAATATTATGGGCTGTTTTGTTGTCTTAGCGTCGTTTGGCTACGGTCGATACCGATGTCGATACCGATGTCGATACCGATGTCGATACCGATGTCGATACCGATGTCCCTTTAGAACAGTATTAAACAACTAAAGGACACGTCACAGACCATGGGTCGTCACCAGGAGGTGACTGCAGGTCGACTCCTCATCTGGGAGGTCCGAGGGCCAGTGGCAATTAGCATCGCAATTAGCATCTCGTTTTTGCAAACATCGTACCACAACGGAGAAGTAAAAATAATATATATAAATAAAAACACAGAAACTGAAGTTTTTACACGTCATCAAACTGACAGGGTTTACCTCTGGTTTTTGTCGTTGACTTTCGGGTTAACGAACAAGTTGAAAACAACCAATAAGACGACGATGAGGTCACAAGGTCGAAGGTCGTGACGGGTTAATTAAATTAACTTTGTTTACACGGCTTTGTCAAAATGTGGAAACATTTTTTAAATGTATTTATTTATTTATTAACCTGCAGTGATTGAATTAATTCACATGAACTTCATTAAACTTTAACTTTAACTTTAATCTCGTTAAACATTTCTTTTGTTCTCCATTTATTTATGGACGTCATGTCATGTGACCTACTTTGGTCTGGGCCACACAGAGTGGATAGGGGAAAGTCTGGGGGGGGGGACTCGGCTCCTCAGGTTTAGAACCATAATCCATCCACATCATATGAAATCAATCATCTGATTTTTTTCGTGCTCTGTGGGAAGATTTTGTCTTTTGCAGACGACGGTCCGCGTTCTTCGGGTAATTACGATCCGAACTGAAATCACAGGTGCATTCTGGTCACAGCGTCTTCTCCTATCAGGAGGTGAGAAATAAAGAGGCCACAAAACTCCCCGGTAACACAATAAAACTGTATTACATTTGTGCTTAAAATTATTACAATTATCGTATTTACAGACGTTGTCCTAAAAATAAACATCTCATGCTGGATGACACCGAAAAAGAAATCCTCGAACGACAGCAGGCAAAACGGAACCTCTTCTCTGTACAGCCGTCATTTACAACCTTTCAGAAGAATCGTTTTTTTTTTTTTTGTTCCAGCAGAGAATCGGTGATGAGCGTTGACGCACATGCTCAGAAGGATGGTCGTTCAGTGGCTCGTTGATTAAGAAAACGGCACGACGAGCAGCGCTGAATGTCGGAACAACCGCTGAATGTGTAGGAAATAAATTAGTGTACAAAAGTTAGCGTCCCCGCCGCGTCCCACAGCCACTGCTACGACAACCAAACATAAAAATGTCAACGTCACGTCAGTGTTTCAATAAATAAGAAAAAAAAAACCAAAAAAAAAACCCCACGATCTGAAACCAGTTCTACGTCCCTCCTGGTCCCGGGTCACCAGTCTGGTCCTTAAAGCTGCATTCACTGGTACTGTTGGTACTGTTGGTACTGTTGGTACTGTTGGTACTGTTGGTACTGTTGGCTGTGGAACTGGACCAGTATGGACACATACTGTAGTACACAGGGAGTATTTGTTTATGTACTCCATCTGAACCGGAACATTTTTTTAAAGAATTTTGCTCAGTTTTGAACTGTTTTTCGATAAAAGAATTGGCAGAAAAAGTCCCAACTATAATGTCAGAGGTTAAAGGTCACAGTTACAGACCTTTAGCCGCACTTTCTTAAAAAATAAAAGATGGAGGACAACAACAAAAAGTTGCGTCAGATGGAGAACTTTTCATGTATGTTTCGTAAAATGTGTCAAAGAAAAGACTTTAGCTGTTACTGTGGACCTGGAACCCTACATTGAGCCACCTTGTTACAGTAAAGCAGGTTGGTTGTTCATAGTTGGTTGTTGGTGGTTGGTTGTTGGTTGTCATCACGACGACACCGTGACAACGAACGCTGTTAAAAAAACATATGTACAAACACAGAAGTGATTTATCGGTGATTTTCCTTTAAATGTGATTTTTGTCCTTAAACCAGATTTGAACTTTATGGACCAGTCGGTACCGAGACTGACACACACACACACACACACACACACCCTTCAGTTCACATTCTGTGTTTTTTTTTCTTCTTCTTTTCTTTTTTGTCGATACAGTAAAAAGGTCTTCATCTCAAAACGACGTTGATTGACAAACGGTTTCAGATTCAAGTATGACAAATGCACTGTGCAGCCAAGGGGGGGCGCCGTCGCTCCTCTACCGAGGAAAAGGGACAAAAGAGTCTGGTTCGATGTCGGCAAAAATTTTCACTGGATTAGAAACTGTTCTGAGGACGACGTCGTCAGGTAGAGGCAGCGACGTGGGCGGAGTCTGAGTTCAGTTTTTTTATTTTTTATTTTTTTCTTGCAGCTTGTTGTTGTTGTTGTTGTTGCTGTTGCTGTTGTTGTAGTTGTAGTTATAGTTGTAGTTGTAGTTGTAGTTGTAGTTGTTGTTGCTTGTTGTAGTTGTTGTTATAGTTGTAGTTGTAGTTGTTGTTGTAGTTGTTGTTATAGTTGTAGTTGTAGTTGTAGTTGTAGTTGTAGTTGTTGTTGTAGTTGTTGTTATAGTTGTAGTTGTAGTTGTTGTTGTAGTTGTTGTTATAGTTGTAGTTGTAGTTGTTGTTGTAGTTGTTGTTATAGTTGTAGTTGTAGTTGTTGTTGTAGTTGTAGTTATAGTTGTAGTTGTAGTTGTAGTTGTTGTTGTTGCTGTTGCTGTTGTTGTGGTTGTAGTTTTTGTTGTGGTTGTTGTTGTTGTTTTTGTTGTTGTTTTTGTTGTTGCTGTTGTTTTTGTTGTTGTTGTTGTTTTGTTTGCTTCCTGCCAAGACAGAGTCACTATGGCTATTTTGTACAGCAGAATGTTTCCCTCCCCCGATGCAGGGAGACTTGTTTAGTTATTTACACATGGACGGTGGGGGGTGGGGGGGAGTCGAGGGGTGTGGACAGGAGGCTATAGTGCTTTTTGTTGTGTGATTGCAAGCTCTCCTTCGGTTGCTCTATTTCTCCCGCTCCCTCTCCTCGTCTCCTCCCCGCGCCGTCCGCCTCCGCACCTGAAGTGCGAGGGTCAGCGAACCTGGGGGGCGTAGCCCTCCTTCATCAGCCCCTCCTCGTAGTCCGTCTGACACAGGATCATGTTGTTCTTCAGGAAAAACTTGTCCCCCACACAGAACCTGCAGCACAGAAAGAGACAGAGGGGGGGGGGGGACGGGGGGGGGGGGGAGACGGGGGGTGAGGTCTCGGTTACATTAGCAACATATGCTACATTTGGATCATTAGCTCTTTTAGCCTTGAGCTAATGATCGCAGCAGTGATTCTTTCAGTCATGCTAATTAGCTACACCGCTATCACTGTGAAACCTGTGTTCAGCGGGGGTGGTCCATGTGAGGCCATTAGGGGGCGCTGTTAGCTGAAGAACCAAATTATTCTTTTTTTATGCCAGGGTTCATTTTTTACACCTGTAGCCCCGCCCCTCCGCCCTCATTGGTCCTTCTACCCACACCAGCACAGCCCAGGTAGAGAACATGAGAGAGAGAGAGAGAGAGGGGAGGAGGGGGGAGGAGCAGATATGCTTGACCTTTCAGCACCCACAAACTGTAGATTATGTTGAACACGTAAGAGAAACGGTGGCTGCGTGGACCTGGGGGCGGCTTATCTTCACGTCGGACAAGGTCAGAAAAAAAACAAAAAAAAAAAACGCCGCGGTGTCGGTGTTTACAGAGAGGGGGGGGGAACGGGGGGGGGGGGGGGAGGGAGGTCTGCAGACGATGTTTGACTTTGACCCCCCCAACACCTCCCCGACACTTTTATACAGGGTTTCAGATTCTAGAATTTCGCAGGATGAAATAGTGAAACCTGTAGGGGGCAGCGGTGTCTAATAAATAAAGATACAAAGTTTTTAGACGAAATCTTGCAACGTAAAAGTGTTCTAACGTTTTTACTTCGCGCACGGCAAATGCTGCAACGTGACGCTCGTTACTGTGCTAGCTTCCTGCTAACGTTACGCTTAGACACCCGGTACTACCGCATCGCTAACACACTGCTAACACCATGTCATTTGCTAAATGCAGTAAACAAAATACTACGTGTCGTAAACGATACAAATTTACGATATAATTTTTAAATTTTTTTAATGCTAGCTCACGGGGTTAGGATGACATAGAACAGTGCAGCAGTGTATGGACATCATACCATAATTAGCACCACCTAGAGGCCAGAAAAGGAACCTGTATGTTTAATTGATCAGACCTGTTTTCTGTCACTCCTGCTCTTATTGAACCGTTCAGGGTCAGGTGACATCGGTACTGACTTTG